ACTCCACTCCGAAGATGCATTTGGCTGGATTTAACCGCATCCTGTTCTTTCTGAGGTTGTTAAAGGTTTCGTCGAGGTCGGCGAGATGGTCTTCTGCTTTTAGGCTCTTTACCACAATATCGTCGACATATACTTCCAGATTCTTGCCAATTTGAGCGTGGAAGACAATGGTTACCATTTTCTGGTAAGTAGCACCTGCGTTCTTTAAGCCGAACGGCATCATGACATAACAATAAATTTCATCGCCAGCATAGAACGCGGTTTTCTCTTTGTCTTCTGGAGCCATTGGCACCTGGTGATACCTCGAGTATGCGTCAAAGAGGCTTAACCTCTCATTGCCTGAAGCCGCTTCAACTAATTTGTCAATGCTCGGCATTGGATAGCAATCCTTAGGGCAGGCATGGTTAAAATTTGTGTAATCAATGCACATTCGCCATTTTCCATTTGCCTTTTTTACCAGAACTGGGTTAGCCACCCATTCACAGTAATCAACTTTCCTGATAAAACCAGCCTGTAGGAGCTTCGTTACCTCTTCTTTAATAGCCTGAAGCCTCTCACCCCTGAAGAGACATCGCTTCTGGGCCACTGGTTTCTTCAATGGATTGGTGCTGAGCTTATGTTGAGAGACTGAATTTGGAATTCCTGGCATGTCTGCCGAAATCCATGCGAATACATCATTATTAGCTCGAAGAAAAGCTATTAGCTCTGCCCTTTCCTCTGGGTTCAATCTAGTTCCGATTTGCGTCTTTCGGCTCGGATCTCTGTCATCAATGAGCACTTCTTCAACATCTTCAACCGGAGCAGCTCTGGTTTCATCTTCCGGTCGATTATCTACGATCTCAACACCTATAACTTGCTGATTATCAGAAATTTGCTGGGGAATGGCCTCGAGTGTCTGAGCTTTGCCCTTCATGGGTTGTGTTACCGAGGTGATATAACAATGCCTGGCCACCTCCTGATTTCCTCGCAGTGTTGCTATTCCCATAGGAGTTGGGAACTTCATACAGAGGTGAGACTGGGAAACCACAGCTCGGATTTCAGTTAGCGTGGGTCGGCCAATAACAATGTTGAAAGAAGACGCCATTTTGACTATGAGGAACCGGACTGGAGTCACATAGGTTCTGCCACTTCCAAAAGCCACATTGAGGGTAAAAACTCCTTCTACCAGAACAGGCTGGTTGTTGAAACCATAGATAGGACCATCATACTTCTGCAACAATGTTGGATCTAATCCTAGACTCTCGAAACAGTGGAAGTACATGATGTCTGGTGCACTCCCGGTGTCAACAAGGACACGCTGTACTTCACAGTTATTAATCATTACAGAAGTGACCAAGGGATCATTGTGGGGTGTAATAATTGTATCAAGATCAGCAGATGTGAAAGTAATGGGTTGGTTCTTCCATTCAGCGTCGTCAATCTTCCGCTTCTGAGCTCGGTTTTGATGTTTAACCTCTCTGACATACAGCTTTCGCTGCTTAGAGCTCAGTCCACCTGCTTCAAGGCCTCCCGTAATCATATGTATGATTCTAGCCGGTGGTGGGAGCGGAGATGGGGTTTGCTGATATCCCACACCTTGCCTATTTGAGGGATTGCGGACTCCTTGAGGTTGTGGCCTCTGTTCTCTAATAAACCTCGACTGTTCAGTTCTCTGAACATACTCATTTAGCATTCCCTTCTGAGCTAAACTTTCCAGTTCGGACTTTAAGCTGTTGCACTGCTTTGTAGTATGGCCGTGATCTTGATGAAAATCACAATATCTGGTGTGGTCTCGACTAGCAGCAGCAATTTTCATCGGGCCAGGACGCCTTAAATCCATTTTATTCTTGATCTGCATAAAAATTTGTGACCTCGGCAGATTAAAGGGAGTCCAATTAACTGGAGGTTTACCTGCAGATTGGTGCGGGGGAGTTGAGTTCGTCTTTCTGAATCTCGTTGGGGAGGTCAACATCGGACCTCGGTTCTGCGCCATTCTCATCCTTTTTCGGTTCGGATTGTCATCTCTCCATTCTGGGTTCTGGTTCTTAGAGGAAGATGGGTTTTGCGCCAGGGCGTATTCCTCAGCAGTTATAAATTTCAGAGACCTATTGTTCACCTCGCTAAAAGTGGTGGCAGCATGTTTGATCAAACTGTCTCTGAACCTATCATGTTTGAGACCAGAGATTACAGCTGCAATACCCACAGCTTGGTCGAAGGAACTAACCTCCAACACCACATCATTGAACCTGCTCATGTAGTTCTTCAGAGACTCTTCGTCCCTCTGTTTAACTCGCATCAATTTAATAGTAGTTTTCCTAATCAACCTTCTACTGGAAAACTTAGTGGCAAAGGCAAATGCCATTTCTGTGTAAGAACTAATTGACCTAGGAGGTAGACTGTAATACCAAGTTCGAGCATTACCTCGCAGAGTAGAGGGGAAGATTTTGCACATTAACGCGTCAGAGGTGTTCTGAGCTTGCATGCAAGAGTAGAAAGCATGCAGGTGATCATCGGGATCCTTCGTCCCATCATAAGTCTCCAGTTGTGGTATTTTGAAGCCAATGGGATAGGGTTCCAGCGTAATGTTGGTATTTAGAGGGTGAGGTATAGAATCGGCAGCATGGTGTGGGGGTGGAGCACCTCGATGTTCAGCTACTAGCTTTTCCAAGCTATCGAGGCGTCGAGTGACATCATCAGGGATGGGTTGCTGAGCAGATGCTATGTGGGATTGACCCTGAGATTCGCTAATAGCGGGAGCAGGTGGAATCGGTTGAGGATTCTGTTGTGGAGCTGGGGGTTGTTGAGCTGGGGGTTGTTGAGCAGGGTTTAATAAATTAATGAGGGGATCACCAGGATTATTTCTAGCTAAAAGTTGAGCTAGTACCAACTGAAAAACACCAAACTGTTGCTGCATGGCAGTAAGTTGAGCTGCCACTACGTCTTGGTTGGCAGTGGAAGTGGAATTGTGAGCTGAGGTATGGGGTTGGTTTTCATCTCCCCTTTCTGCATGATCAGCAGGAGGGAATATGGTTGGGACCTGAGGTGGAAACTGAGGTGGGATTTGAGGTTGGATTAGAGGTGGAAGGTTGTTGGGAGGTTGACCTTGCCCATGAGGCAGAGATGAATTACCAGCTCAGACTGATCGAGTGTGAACCATGATGAAATAGCAACTAGAAAGCTTTCAGTTCGATTCCCACAGACGGCGCCAATGTAATTGCACCAAACCAGAAGTTCTTCTTCAGTCCGCGCTTGCACTCCGGGATGACCTGCAAAGCCCCGAGGTGGAACTCGGGGTAGACACTCCGATGCTGAAGTCAGCAATAATCGGGGTTACCTTTAGGGCGGAGATAAAAAGAGCTTAGGGTTGGTTTCAATTACCTTTTGACGTGGCCCAGAGGGGGTATTTATAGGATCCAATGAGGAACCCACGCGGCATGCCAAGCAAGATAATCGGAGCCTGACGTGTCCATCCAGATGATTATTCCGGGACCGGGAATTTGAGAGGTATTCAGATGCACGGATGTCCACCATACTTGCTGTGCCACTCGTCATAAGGAATCAGGTACGAGCATGCTTATTGTCATTGTCATGCAGCTATTTGAGCAGGAAGCTTTGGATTCATTTCTCACTTCGGTCATAAAGGAATTACTGTAGCAGTCCGAGGCTTGGCACCTCGGACCTGTCTTTACACCCCCTTTCTGCAGAAATCCGGATCTGCTTTGCTCTGTCCATCCGGTTGCTGCTCTTGCCAGTTTGTGGGTGCGAATTCTGGGCATTTTTAGGTAAGAAACAGCCATGATTTCATCCTTTTAGCTTTGATCTAAGTTGGGTTCTTTCAATTTTGGGTAGATCCCCCTAAATTCCCCTACACTACCGCCAGCTTTTCCCCCCTGCTAGGTTCAGTTTGCAGTTGGAAAATTCTAGTATGTTGACAGCCCCTCCAAGCTTGAAATCTCATCAATTAATTGTTGAATTTGTCCATTTAATTCCTGCCCCATGTGCTGTCCAAATTTGTTGAAAAATGGGGATGAATTTGGGTAGTAATTAGAGCATAATTAAGCTTAATTCATGTGTAAATTGCTTGAGTTGGCTGCTGTGATTTTTGGAGAAAATCCCATGAGATTAGCTATGGTTTTGTCAATTTTTGGAAGTGCAGTTACTGTTCACGGTACTGTTTACACACTAATGGCCAACAATTAATGGAGATTTAAATGTTTAGTTCTAATATAAGAACAAATTTGGAGATGTACGATCATGTGGAGACTAATAGAAATAGCATCATGATTAAGGGTAGTCCTAATGATGATTTCACTTGAATTTGTGATGGTATAGTATTAATTCTGGAATATTTTGATTAGGTTCTGATCGTTCTGTCAGTTTAGCATCGAGATCGAGTGTTCGGTTTTATGCAATTTGAGGTAAGTAAATTATGGTAACGCCCTTCAATTTTAAAAGCACATTTTACCTTGTTTTTGAAGTGGTGGCGGGACTAAACCCGTTTTACACAAATATGATTGATTTGAAATGAAATTATTATTCTTTTTATTGATTTGAGCATGCCTGTTTGGAGTTTATTTAATTGCCCTAAAGATCTGGAAATTATCTGTAAAGTATGATTTTCTGTTAACTTCTGTCTGTTTTGTCTCCGATATGGTCATGTTATTCGTGTGCCCGCTAGTGTGAGGTTTATAAACGCTAGCATATGTCGACATGTTACTGATAGAATCGGTTCGTTTATATTATCCTGCTAGTGGGATTATACATTAGTAAATCGTGTGCCTGTCAGTGGGAGGTTTATAACACTGGCCATGACCTATAGAGGAGAAGACGTCCATTTCGTTCCCGTACTGTATTCGTTTTTCGTGATTACACTTGTTGGCATGCTATAAGTTTAATTAAGGGCACTCCATATTTACTTACTAAGTTTATCTCATAGTTTTTCTTGTCCACCATTTCATGAAGCGAAACCGAGGACGGGGAAACCACGGGAAGTGACGAGTTAGAAGGCTAGCCATTTCGATATTGATATAGATTTTAGAAATAAATCATGATCTTGTAAACTAGACTTTATTGGAGATTTATGATATTAGAGCAAATTATAAAATTTGATCTTTAGATTTTGATGGTATCAGATTCTGATATGATAAGTTCCGAGCCTTGTGCATTTGTGGGACCCTCTCACAAGTGTACGGCGTCTGGTACGTCCTCGGATTTGGGTTCTGGGGCGTGACATAATGATATGAAAATTTTACATTGGAGAGATATGGATGGTGAAAGTAATTTCAATGCAAAAAAAATTATTAATCATTCATTAGCCATATGTTGGGGAGGAAGAAAGGTAATAACTATGTAAACAAATGATTGTTTCCTCTAGTAACAAAAATGTGTAACAACTACCTTTATTTCACAACATTACTCTTTGGATGTTTACTTTTTTATTAGATGCTAGTATACTCCTTATTAAAAATGTTGCTAGGAAAAACTCAGTGGAAATTGCAATGAATGAAGACGTTCTTCATCTTTCTTTAGAAAAAAAAAAAAACCTCTAAAAATTAAAATTATTGGGGTGTTTCTATTAGCAAATTTAATATCATTACCAATTGAAAACTGTGTGAGATGTGGGGTTGTGGAGTTGTATAACTCGAGACACGTCTCAAGGATAATTATCCATGTTATAGAGCTCAAACAAATGCATAGATTGGTCCCAAAGGGGTGTATTTGACAATATCGCTAACAACATGAGCTTTGTAAAGGTGTTGGAGAAGATATGGTCAAGGGAGTAATTTACCACAAGGATGATGATAAGATATTGCAAGAGTAACAAATTATTGTTGAGGTAATAAGATATCATTAGGGCAACAAATTATTGCCGAGGTAATAAGATATGATTAGGGCAAACATTATCTTGAGGTAAAAGATATTAATGGGGCGATGTATTATGTTACGGTTAAGGGTGAAAGGTTAACACTTACTTTTCTTGAACTTTTTAGAAAATTTATAATCTTGTAGTGTAATTTTTTTGTCCCTTTAAAGTTTTTAAATTTCTCAATTTAGTATGTAAACTCAAAAAGAAAAACCTATACTTGGGCATGATAAATTTAAAAAAAAGAACCATATTTGGGCGTAAAATATTTAAATAAAAAAATCTATATTTGGGTCTCCAATAGTCCAAATGTTAGAAGAAGATAAACCTTGCTCTATCCCTAAGTTGCCTTCAATATTCTTTTCTTGCTTCTTGCCCAATTTATAGTTTCCATGTTTTTCCTTACTCATTGAACTAGTTAGGGTTTTCAAGGCCTAGCTAGTTCTTTCTTACCCCAATTTATTGTTAGTCACATCATGATCTATCAATCTACACCCTAATGTGATATGGATTAGAATATATTCTGCTATCAATAAAGAAAATACTTGCTTTTGGTATACTTAGGTGTCCAATCCCATGCTAGGAATCCCATAATCAACAAGCAAAATCCAAGCCACTTTCAACATCTTAACCTCTTTATTTTTTTTTTCTTGTAAAACAGAAATAATTAACAACCCCAAAATTTGCCCATCACTTCTTGAAAATTAGACCTTTTTAGCAAAAATATTGCCATGCTAATTTAATATGTCCTATCCCCAGCCAAAACTGCACCACCCTATAGCCTTAACCTCAAGCCAACCCCACCCATCACAAGGCATTGATCGTCATCCACTATAGTCACTCACTTACATGCATCAAGCTCTCATTCCAATAAGACACAAACGTGATGAATATAACTCTCTCAACAATCATTCTTGTGAAAATAAGACACCACCATAAAAATCCCTGCCTCGCCTACACCTTATTGTTGCCATCCAAACCCAAACAATCACCCTCACCCAACAGATCTTAACCATTCCAATTAAGAGGGTCTCTATCAAGTGACAAATTTCACATCTTAAAGGAACAAAAAAAAAAAAAAAAAAAAAAAAGAAGCTATTGTTAACAATAACATAAAGTAAACTAATATTCTCATAAGGGAAGAACCAGAACCTTCAAAACCCCTTAGGAGAGAACATTTTGACCACATATAGTATTTGTATTCTGTCATGTTGTTATTAAAGGGAATAATAGTGTAAAATTTTGAGCGAGAAAAAGGTGTAGACCAAATTGATATTGAAATCAAAAGTTGAGGAACCAAATATTTCCTTACACCATACCAAAACGTCAAAGAAAACATTATAGTTTTTTTTTTTTTTTTATCAACAACACTATGAATTTAGGTTTGGTCGAATATAATTGTAATTTTAATTTTTTAATATAATTTTTAAAATAAATTTTATAACTGTAAATAAAAAAATTTATATATTCTTACATATTTTTACAATACATTATCATAATTATTAAATAAATAAAAATAAAAATAACTTTAATATCATTAAACAAGTTTATAATTTTTTTTATTATTATCAATATTATGTTTTTGTTTTAAATAAATTTTTAATATGTAATTTTTAATTTTAATGATTACAAAATTTTAAAAAATTAAATTAATAACGAATAACCGCAACCACAAAACCTAATTAACAATTTACCATTGCTTTCCTTTCATCATACGTCACTATTGAAACTTTTCCAAATTCGAGGGCTTTCTGCGACTGACTTCCGAAACGACTAATCCGACGCTTTGTGTTTGACCGATCTGCCGTCCGAATCCTGTCTTCTATATTTTTCTCACCATTGTTTTGGCCCTTCTTCCTTTGTTGTCTCTGGTTGTCCATTTGCTTCTTCCTACTAAACATCTCACTGCTGCTTATGGCGACCGCCTCAGACACAGAGCACCAACCCACTCCTCGTTCCCAACAGCAAGAACCCATGAAGCGCCACAGGAATGGGGAAATCTGGGACTTCGAGGACGAGATGGTGGTACCTAGTAACAGGCAGGTAATATTGGGTTTGGACGGTGGGGCTACTTCCACTGTCTGCGTATGCATGCCCTTCGTCCCCTTCTCCGACCCTCTCCCCAACCCTCTACCAGTTCTTGCCCGTGCGATTGCTGGATGCTCCAATCATAATAGTGTTGGCGGTAATTATATCCCATTTCCCTCTCTTTTGAACTTTGTCCTTTAGGGTGACTTTGGGTTTTTGTATTTTAGGTTTTCTTCCCTCCTGTTATTGAGTTTCTGGTTGCATTGGATTGAAATTGAGAAATTCACTAAATTGGATAGTCATAATTCTCACTCAAGTACATTTTGGAAATTCATGGATTTTAAATTTCTTGAATATGTTTCCACTCATTCTAATTTAGAGCGTGTTCTTTATATTGTGATTGGTGAGAAAGTTGCATAGCTGCACGATAGAATGTTAAACTCTTTAATGCATATGGTTTAGAATCCTTAAAGGGGAAAGGATCTCTGTTGCTCCGTCACCCTTTAACAATACTTTCTCATGCTCTGTCTTATTAGATTAATAAGTTCATAAACAAGGGTGTGCCTTCCGTGCATTAAAATGGTTCGTGTACTTAAAATCTACTCTGTATAGCAACATAGGACCCTGTACTGAAGCTCGTTCTCCAACTAGATTGAAATTTAAAACTAGCGGGTTCTTCGTCCTTATTTGATGCATGTGTTAACTGTAGGCACTGAAGTACTCCATTAAAGATTTGGGCTGTTCCTGTTTTAGTGAATATGTTGTAGTTGTTAGTCCTATATTAGTCTGGTGCTTGTAGTGCCTATCATTCCTTAGCATCAAATGCTAAATGATAGGTGGGATACTTGATAATATGCATCCTACAGGACAGACGATCGTTGGCCTGGTGCTTTGTGTTTTAAAGATATGCAGAGCCACAAGGGTTTCATGAAGTTTTATGAAGAATGTAGACATTATTTTTTTGTGTATTCTTTCAAAAAAAAGAAAATTTGATTGGAGTTATAGTACTAATTGTAGCCATTCCTTGTTGAAACTTTGACTGTGTATGAAGATGATCATTTGGCTGTCTCTGTGTAGACACAGTTGATATTTCTGTCTACAAATCTGAGCTTTTAAGCAGTAGAAGTAGTTATAAAATCTCTCCCATTCTATTAGAATTTTGAACGATATCTATCATTTTCCTTTTTCTTTTCTTTTTGTTATTATTGCTCTAACATTTAGAGGGTTCCTAGATTTGAATGGAGTTAGGTGTCTTGTGCAAGAGTATTTGGATGAAAATGAATATGGTTTAGAGAGCAATATTGCATAACCCTTGGAAATAAAAGCAATCTGGAAGGGAATGGATTAACATCTCAATTCTTGTGTCAATCTAAAGAAAACCAAATTCTCTATGATTGAAAATTGTCATATGTTTTGTGAAAATTAGATGAATACAGTGAGAACATATTTGTCAGCCCGATATTTTATGGTTATGAATTTTCCATTTTACAGAAATGGCCGCAAGGGAGACGTTGGAGGAAGTTATGGCAGATGCTCTTTTAAAGTCAGGTTCAAATCGATCTGCAGTACGAGCTGTTTGTTTAGCAGTATCTGGTGTTAACCACCCTACAGACCAGCGACGAATATTAAGTTGGCTTAGGTTTGTACTCTAAAAGTAAATTTTGCAGTTTAAATATGGTAACAAATTTGGGATTTGGATTTAATATAAGGCTAAGAAATTTTGGAAGAAGGTATACTTTTGTAAAAACAATTAGAGCAAGTTGGAATATTTAAGTTTTAATTGTTTGTGGGTTCTCCAAGCCCCACACACATTAGAATGAAATGGAGATTTTAATATGTTTTGAACTTTTAGTAATCTTCAGGAGTAGCTCAGAAATGCTTGGTGAATGCATCTACTGTAATGAACATTATGATAATGCTTTAGATCCAGTGTTAATTACAGTGGTAAAAGCAGTTCTGTTTATTTATATAAAGTTATGCAAAATGCCATCTACATATTATTCTTAAAAAATTTAGCATTGTGATGTGATTAGCTTTAAGTTTTGCAATTTCTATCTTTTAGAGCACAGGATATCACCTTTTTTCATTTATGTAAGTGCCCATGGTGAACACTTATCATGTTGGCCACATGATCCAAGGCCATGTAATGTAACATACGTTTTATATGGGTCTTTTGTAACTAAGCTGTTGATTGCGCTAGTAATGTTTGTCTTAGGTTCATTAGAATGCCTCAACTGCATACATCACTGTAGTTCCACTTAACACCTATTGTAATGATAAACAGCGCAAAGTTTATTGACAGCAGATGATGCTGAGTTACCTTCTCAAGTTTGTTTTAGTGAACGGTTACCCAATTGTTCTACAAAGGATTAGTGGCTCCATTTTTTTAATCCACTAATTTCAAAAAATGATAGCACATCCATTTTAGTTTATTCTTTTATTGATTGTTGGATCATGAAACTTAAATGTCTTTAACCATACGTATAAAGTAGTGGGTAATATCCTGCATCAGAGTATCGTACATTCCTGATATTGAAGTTGGGTCTTAACACCTATTGACAACTGGCCTTGGGTTGGAATGCTTTAACAGTAAGAATAAACTGTAAAGTAGGGAAATAAAGTGTCTCTCTTTTTTTTTCTTTTTTTTTTTTTCCCAATAGGTCAATTCTTGAAAGAGTTGTTGTAGACTTTTTGTTCTTGTTCACACATTTTTGCTTTAGCCACTGTGAAGTTAGCTAATTCTGTTCATAGTGTGATCTTTTTTATTCATTTTTACTAAACCATTTTCACATGGATAATTAATTAAGTCATTTCCTAATTCTGCTTGTGTAGGGACATATTCCCTAGCCATGTGAGGCTTTATGTTCAGAATGATGCTGTAGCAGCTCTTGCCAGTGGGACAATGGGAAAGCTTCATGGCTGTGTGCTAATTGCTGGAACAGGAACAATTGCTTATGGATTCACAGAAGATGGCAGAGAGGCCAGGGCTGCGGGCGCAGGACCTGTCCTAGGTGATTGGGGGAGGTATACTAGTCTTTGTGTGTGTTTTGTTTTTATCCTTCTTCATTTTTTCTTGTTCATTTATTTCTTTCTTTTTTTATTGTGTAACAGAATGCTTTTTTGCAGTCTGGATTGACAGACTGCAAAAAAGCAGCCATTGATGGGGGAGGATGGCTCCACATCAAGGTTAGATATGTGCAGTCTGGACTGCACACAACATTTCTGTTTGTGTAATTTACAACATTTTGAGTTTCAAGATGGGGCTCTTACTCTATTAGTTCTTGTACCAAGCAGTTAGCCAAAACTTTTTCCTAATTTCCCAAATAATCTTCTTTAGTCTTATTCATTTTGACTTCCTTCTAATGACATGAAATATTTGTCACCTGGTTAATTTTAAATTAGTTTTTGTGGTTTAACTTACAATGAATAAATAATTTCTGGGCAATCATATAATTTTTTTTTTTCAAATATGAGTTGTCATGAGTGAAAGATGCTGTAATGTTCTCATCCATTTTTTATACAGTGGATATGGAATAGCTGCACTGGCACTAACTGCTGTAATTAGGGCTCATGATGGTCGTGGTCCACATACAAAGCTTACATCTAGCATTTTACACCATCTTGGCCTTTCTTCTCCAGATGAACTAATTGGGTATGTAATGTGTGTTTTTAGATCTCCAGTTTGGCACAACTTTTTACACTCTTTTTAGAGTAAGATAAATCAAATTGTTAGTTCACTGGTGTTTGTCTTTAAATAGACTTTTGGATTGCTATGTTTGGAAAAAATGCACACAGATGATGATTTCTTCTGGCCTTTTTAGAATGGAAAAAAGAGGGATGAAAAAATCAGGTTAATGATGTATAAAATGTTGTCATATTTGCTGTCTATTTTCATCTTTGTATTGTTATAGATGCTTATCCAATTGCTTAGAAGAAATTCTTGTTTTCCATTGACCATGGCCATTGAAGAATTTGACAAAAATATGGCAGATTTCCATCATATAATTTTATGAGGTTTTCCTTTAAAGGATTCAGATTTTGGTTTCAGCTGAAAAATGTTGTGAGTGTTTTGGCATTTTCACATGTTTTGTATTGTTAAATAGAGTATTGCATGTCAAGATGTAAGGGTTCAAGGACCCCTTGTATTCCCTAATAAAAGTATTTTTCTTTGCTGATTAAAAAAAAAAAAAAAAAAAATGTTGTGATAGAGTAATAACAAGGATTCATTTTTAAGAAGGATATTAAATCTTAACCTTTTTGCTGTTATTGATTTAGGTGGACCTATGCTGATCCGTCCTGGGCTCGCATTGCAGCACTTGTTCCAGTTGTCGTATCTTGTGCTGATGCTGGTGATGAAGTTGCAAATACAATCCTGCAAGATGCAGTCCAGGAGTTGGCTTTAAGTGTGAAAGCTGTTGTTCGTAGACTTCGCTTGTGTGGTGAAGGTGATCCATGTGAAACTAAATAAAAAATTGGTGGAAGTTCTTTTTCTTCATTTTTTTACTATGCCTTTTTTTAGAAGAGAATATTTTATTAACATTATCAAATGGTGCAATTGTGAAAATTTCAAACAAGTATGTTGCAATTTGTTATGCTTTGATATGATGCATATTGGAGGAGAAAAACCCTATGTAGTATACCTTTCAGACACACTAAAATAAGAAATTGGGAAAACCTTTTAGCCTCAATGGAGCAGTAAGCATGGTACACAAATCTGATAGTTCTCAAGGTGTAATTTAGGTTGAAACACTTGAATAAGTTTTAAAGAAATTATTTCTTCAATTACCCAAAGTTTTATCCCATTCTCTAGAATTCCCTTTCCCATCAAGTCTCATCTGAGTAGCTGTTTGCATCTAACATTTTTTTGGGGAAAGAAGATATGTGGATAAGTTTAGTCTATTTATTTGAATAGCAAATTTGGGTGTTCTCTAGTTTTTACTAATAAGCAACACTAAAGTTCCATTGACTGTTCATAGGGTTGGAATGATTAATTCATTTTGTTGAGCCAACTTAAAGTTGTATGCTTCTTATCATGTGGAAGTGTCTTTCCATTGTTATTGTAAGTTAATTTGACAGGTCTTGTAATGGATTGTTGCAGATGGGCAAGATTCTTTTCCTCTTGTTATGGTTGGTGGTGTTCTTGAAGCAAATGAGAGGTGGGACATTGCAAAAGAAGTTATGAACTGTATTTCTAAGGACTTACCTGGTGCTCATCCAATTAGACCGAAGGTAAGAATTGACCCATCTGATGGTTTGAAGTGAATTCATCTGGTTTTTTTGTTATCCCTCAAGGGACACAAATAGCCCAATCTTGGGCCAAGTGTATCACATGCAGGTGCAGATATGAATCTATGAGGGATTGATAGCTTCTAAAACTGATGGTTTGGGATCAATAGTAGAGTTAATTAATTAGAACTTTAAAGCACACCAAGGATGTGATAAAATATGTTGTAATTTGTAGCTGACCAATGGGTCCTCCTGTAAACCTCTACCAGTCAGGCTAGGATTTGTGTCCAGTGATCCATTGTGTCAGAAAATGCACTCATGTCATGGCTTGAAAGAGGACAAAAGCAGGACCATTTAGTCTGGATTGCCCCTTTTTCCTCAAGAGTTTTTGAACTAATTATTATCTCTACCCATTTCCATCTTGACTTCTGTGGAAAGCATCAATTTCTCCTATGGTTTTCTCTGTTTTATGTTTTTCTTTCTCTTCCCTTTGATTATCCCAGCCAAAGTTTGCACTTCACCATCTAGTTGCTTTTCCTCTCTTGTCAAATGCCAAAGAAGGAAACACTTTGAATGTGGATATATTTCCTCTCAGAATCTAGTTGTTGGTACAAGTAAGAGCCCTAGCTCTTTGTGCAAAGCTGTGGAAGGCACTAGGCACTGTGTGACACCAGGCCTCCGCCCAGTGACCTGGGTGATTTGTGTACCCTTTTTATTTTATTTAAAAAAATCAGAAAATTATGAAAAAAATTTTAAAAATAAAAAAAATGTCAGAAAAATTTAAAAATAGAAAAAGCAATTTAATCACTGTACTTTCACTTTCTGAATATATTTTTTTGATGTAACTTTCTAAATATATTAACTTTCATATATTTACTTTATTTTCTATATGTTGAATAGTTAGGGTTTATGCTTTTATTTGGTTTTTATATTCTTAAAAAAAAATTATAAATTAAATGATGTTGTTTCATTCTGTCCCAAAAAAAAAAAAGAAAAAAAGAAAAAAAGAGAGGAGGAAATTCTGGTGGCACCCTGATAAAGGCACCACCCTGGAGGTCCAGGGTGATTTGCTTTGCAACTATCTCTGTGGTGATCACCTTCTTTCTGATGAGTAGAGATCATGAGTTTGTGTTTAGGCACTTGGGTGGGGTGTGAAAAGGAATGGAGGATTATGTACCATGCTAAGTTACTAATGAAAAGGAAATCTTGAATGAATATGAATATTCACTAAAAGATGCAGTGGAAGATGTGGAGGATGAGGCTGTTCATTTTATTTTAGCTTAGGGGGTCACATATGATTGCGGCCCTCAGTCTCAAAACTGTTTCTTTTGCAACCCTAAAGGATAAACATGTAGATAGGCAGATGCTGTTTTTGTTATTGTTGTATGCATGTCAACAAATTTGACCCTTTTTGTTCTACTAACACCAGGTAGAGCCTGCAGTTGGGGCAGCATTGCTAGCTTGGAATTCATTCATGAAAGAGTGCCACAAGGAGGTGTACAGACGATGACCATTGATGAGTTGGAATTCAATTGTACAGCAGGTGAGGATTACTTAAATTAAAAGGGAAATTTGGAATGAACAATAAGAGTGATAAACATATATTTCTTCATACGGTATTAGGCATTTTATTAATCCAGGATATTTTTGGCTGATGTTTTGCAATAAGTTCTCTTTTAGTTTCGGTATTTTTATTTGGCACCTGTGTAATTAAACAATAAATAAACACAAATGTCACAGAGAGAGTGATGTATACTTGTGATTTGCAACTGTTGTTTTTATTTTTATTTCTTGATACGGTTTAGGCTATAAAGAACTTGTGTTTATTCAATGGGTGTCTTATTTTACAGTCCAGAATTTATTTAATGGGTGTCCTATTTTACAGTCTAGACTGGAAAACAAGAACTATCCAATAGGGAGAGGCCCCTCAATATTATGGAGCCCTCCCCTCATCAAACGATTAGTGTTTACAATCCAAATTAGTCCAGATTGTAAAACACTTTTTCATTATTCAATACGTTAAGCAGTTTGTTTAATTTTTATTTCGATTTGTGAATTCAACAAGCTCATAAGAAGACTTCCATTTTTCTTGGTATTCTTCTTTCATGCAAATTGAAGCAGGCAATTGCACCAGAGACCACAAGCAAGAGATTAATTGTATCTCCTTCTAAACCTGTTTCAGACAAATGATATTTACATGCCATGTTTGTATTCATCTTAGTAGTTTGGTAGGCAGTCGTCCACCTAGGTCTATTTTCCTTCTCCTCCCCTGTGCAATTGTACATTATCTCAGAAAGACTATTACATACAGATGGATGCTCAATTGATTATTATCTGTGTGTCATTTCAACTAAGCTAGCAGTTTCAAATGCCATAGGAAGAACAACCATTGAACGTTCACCAGATTTAACTTTAAAAAAATTGAAGTCGGCTGTTCATCTTTCATAATAGAAGAAAATTGTGTTAGGAGACTTGGAGATGGATTGGAGGAGGTTTCAAATCTTTAAGAGTTAATGGTTTATCCCTGCGCATCTTGCGACTAAATTCTCATTGTTTCCTTTCATTGATTCTCAAAGGTTTAATGTTAACTAAAAGGCAAGGCTTTACTTATAATGTCACTTATAATATTACTTCATTGAAAGTTTATAATTTTATGTGATATTAAATAAATTTTGATATGATTTAATGAATAAATACAAATAATTTTATAGATAAATTTTTAAATAAAAAATTAATTATATAACAAAATATTGTGTTATAAATTTATAAAATTACATAACATAATTATAGTATTTTTGGTTGATATAATTATAATATTTTTGGTTTCTGAACTTTCAAGAAATAGGAAAAAAAAAAAAAAATCTATAGTAGCGTTAATTAATATCTTCAACATTTGAAAAGTGAGCAAGTGGGCATTTATGATCTATTCGGTCTACCACCATTAGTGTCCTTTAACGCGATATTTCCTCCGTTAGGTCTATTAAAATATAAACTAAAAATCTTTGATATTTAGCATTATTAAAAATTAAATCCACGATATATCATTCGCATGCAATTGGGTCCCTATGAAATCAAGATAAATTTTTAATGGGTTTTTCAACAAGTTTTGAATAATGATTCTATATTTATTTCTAGTTAATCTCAATTTTCTTTCATTATTAGTTACTCATTTTTTGTAATATGATTTGATTTTCCCAAAACCTCATTGTTTAACATTGGTAAGGTAAAGACTTTTTCAAGCGCAAGTCTTGTAATTTATAGTCTAATTTGTGTGGTTGAAAAAGGCATCTCAGCACAACAGCACTGAGAACAAAATTGAAAAAGGATATAATGCCAAAAGTAAAAGTACCCTACACTTATTCCTTATCCTACAGCTTCAACACTCAACAACCCTAAATCCCTTATTTCAATCTCATCAACATGTTTGGTTGGTTAAAATTGAGGAACTTCTATAGGATTTAGGAATAACTAAATAATAAAGTCTAATTTTCTTTAAAAACTAAAAAGAATACATATTTCACACTTAGTTTAATAGAAAATTATCAACTTTAAGGTTTTTTTTTTTTTTTTTACATCTGATAATGATGGATTATATAAGAGGGGATAGCCATTTCCTTTCCTTAAATCTCTTCTTATCTTACTTAAGGTTCGAACTTGAGATTTCTAACTTGGAATCTCAAGTTTTTAACCATTGAACTATCCCCTTAGAGGTTATCAACATTAAGGCTTAGTTATTATGAAGTTAAGAATGTTTTCTCAAAGTTATTCTAAATTTCATTTTTATAGTTTGATTAAAGAATAATTACTATAGCTAACCAACAATGACCTTACTCTTACATTTCTTCTACCCAAAACAAGTACCAAAGAAAGAACAAAAGAAAAATAAAATGCCAAAGTTCATCTATTTGCGTTAATACCATTTTTCAAGCTCAGATAAAGTGATGAGTTGAATTTATATAAATATTAATGTGAAATTTTTATCTTGATATATATTGATATTTGGGTGAATTTTATGAGATTTTACTTGATTTTATATCATTTTCATTTTTTATGTAGGAAAAGACTTAATTGAAAGAAATCATAATTCTTAGAAGCAAATTGCAGAGATCAGAAAGTTGAGGATTAAGTTGTTTAGAGTTCAGAAGTTAAGGACCAAAACTGTCATTTTACTATTAACAAAAATTACTTAGAGGGCCAAAAACCCGACACGACGATGAGTCTGCGCTTAACAGAAGGTGTCAATACCTAAGTGAAGGTGTTGACTCCTTATGCGATTTTCAAAAAATTCGTGCGTAATTATTTTGGTATGAGTCCCATTTCTATTTTAATTAGGTTTTTAAAATCTTATAAATACTCATCCAAGTTCAAAATCAAAGGGAGAGTTTTGGGAGGCTGGTGGCAGCCCTCTTTTAGACACTCTTAGAGATGAAGATAAAAAATTCACCAACAATAGAAGGTCAATGATTTCAACTTTTTCAAATTGAGTTTTATTTGTCCTTAAATTAATTTTATTTATTATTTGATATTTTTATATTCATATTATGATTTCAAGTTTTATTATTTTTATTATGAACTAATTTATTTTACTAGAATTATGATGTAACTTAATCAATTTAATAGAGATTTTGTGATTTTTATATTTTCAATTAAAATTATTCACATGCTGAGTTTATGTTATTGAATTTGATGTGATGAAAGCCTGATCACTTTTCAATTGATTTAGTGATTTATGCATGAAATTGAAAAAGAATTATATAAATTATACTAATAATAATATAAACCATGTGTTAGACTATGAGATCGAGAGGTAATTAACGTTACTTGTGGTAATGGAGGAAGAGAAGAGAGTTAGAGACTCCCCTTCTTAAACTAAAGGTTTTCATAGAATTTAATACTCACCAATTTATTTTAAATTATATAGAGATATGAATAATTTACAAATAAGTGAATGATTAACTTGACTTAAAAAAACTAGTTAATTAATCTAGGAAAATCCATCATCACATGCAATAACCTTAGGAAAATCCGTCATCACATGCAATAACTCTCAACAAATTAGTTTTGAAAGTATATTAATAAAAAATTTATATTAATTGATTATGGTGAAATTGATGCCTTAGCATCTCATATCTTAATTAGTTTTATTTTAATTGTTATTTTTTTTATTATTTTTAGTTAAAGTTTCATATTTTTCGATTGTTCAAATAAATTTAGATTAATTATTTTTGGTACTTAATCAATCACAATATTAGTGGATTCGACATTCTTCTCATCATTATATTAGTTAGAGCAACTAGTACACTTGTTAGAATAATTTTACTGCATCAAGTTTTTTTGGCATCGTTGCCGAGGATTGTTGATTTAATTAATATAGAAGTTGGTTAATTCTAGATTTAATTTGAACATATTCTTTTCTTTTATTTCTTTACTTTGATTTTTTTTTTTTTTTTGTAAGTTTAATTTTGGATTGAGTTGTTATAGACACTAATATGAATTATCAATGTCTTATTTTAGAGTTAAGGACACAAGTTGAAGCAATAACTATCAATTGGGAAGCAGAAATTGACGATGGTGAACTTAAATGATTTCAAGCAACAATTGAAAAGTTTGAATTAAAAAAAAAAACTATAATAAAACAATTTAATATTACTTGTTAGTGGTGTGAATTAGAGCATTTTAATTTTGATTGCTATTTTAAACCATCTAACAAATATGTTGATTTTTTTTTTTTTTGTGACTTTTATAGCTAGCAGTGTAATCCTTATCCCAATACATGCAACTTTGATTAGATAAATTATCCATACTTCTCTTGGGATAATGAAGTTACATTCGAGCCAGAATCAAGGTTTTGAGCTCAAGAAAAGGGAGACATGTTTAGACAAAAATTTGGAGGCTTAATCAAGTTATTCGCTTAACTTACTTGCTGATGAAGAAATACAAGGTCAGTTACCTAGCATAACAATGACAAATCAAGAAGAAAAGGTAAACACTTTACCTTTGAAGGACAACTTGGAGAAGCAGAAAGCATACTTGCAGAAACTAAACAAGAGGATATCCCTAAGGAAGAAGAGGAAAAAACTCAAGTGTCATTTGAAGTGTTTAATGGGAAGTCTCCATTAACCAAATCTGATTTTAATTATTATTTTGTTATTAATATAGTTGATGAAATTTTGCAAGAAAACACTTATGAGGATCCATTTGAGATTTATCTTATTCAAGCAAAAGCCCTAATCAAAGAATACATACATTACTTGAACACATCCTCACCTTCCTTGGAATCAAAGGGGGCAATCCTAGAAGAATTGGGAAGGCACATCTCTTGGCCTAAACCCAAACCACCATAGAATAGTCAATGAAGAAAATCTAATGGTGGATTTAACTTAAGGGCAAAAAAGTTAAGATTTAAGAAAACGAAAGGACATGCCCTACGACCTAATCCAAACCCCCTTGGAGTGGTAGAAAGTCTAGTTAATGACTATAAATTAAGCACTTCTTGGAAGGCAACCCAACCATAAATTTTTTCTTTTCTTTTCTTTTATTTCTTTGTCTTTTATTTTAATAGTTTAGATTTTTTATTATTATTATTTTCTCTTTATGGCCTAGGTTAATGCATAAATTGTTGTTCTTTGATTTTGGCCAAGTCATTGAACAAGTTTGGGGGACAAGATTATGAAAATTTACATGCTAGAAGTCTCCTCTAATTGAAGACAACTTAACTCTGGAACTTAAATTTTAAATCTTCAAGTGCAAAATATGGGAAGTTTCTCTTTTCTTTTGCTTTTATTTTACATTGAGGACAATGTTTGATTTAAGTTTGGGGGAGAGAATAACTTTTAGGTGTTCGTTCTTACATTAGTTGTATTCATATTTGAATGACACATCTTTGGTTTAGAAATTAGGGCAATTTTTTAGGCATTGGTCCAATTAGTGTCAAAGAATTGAATATTCTTGAGTTAAAAATTCAAAAACTTCAAAAATCTTTGAATTTTAGAAGAGACACAAAATCTGAAAAATAGCACCATTGTGATGAAATTTAAGTTCACGAGTATTATATTTCACTTGAGCACAGTTTGTAGTGAGAAATTTAGAAGAAAGACTTAGTAAGACCTAAAAAGCACAAGAAGGAAGAAGAAGAAAAAAAAAGAAAAAAGAAAAAGAAGCCAACACACAAAAGAGTTTGTTAATTTCTACTCCAATGTTTCTGATTGCTTAGAAACTGAGGATTAGGCATGAGACCCA